TACTTCGATCACACGACATTGTAATTATTAATATTATTATTATTATTATATCGACAAGGAAGAGGAAAATGGCCGCCGTTTGAATATGCTCCATTACGTCGCTGTTACACGACCATGTGATGATGATGATGATGATGATAATGATGATGATGATGATGATGGCAGCGAGAGGGTTGACGCAGCTTTTACTGAACTCCCAGATGCTCTTGACCTCCGTGCTTTTGTTGCTGTTCACACAAGACGCAGAATTCCTCTCAGTGCGACCGAGGGGACAATGTGACTGTGTGTCTCTTCTGCTTTCAGCCTTTTCACTTCTCGCCCGTCTGTCCCTCTCCCCTCCAGCATCAAGCCGTTCTCTCAGCAAGCCTACAATGTGCAGACAGCAGGGACCACCACCATCTCAGGTGAGAGAATTGCCTCCTCTCTGTGAAGCGGACAGGCCGCCCTCTCCCCCGTCATTTAGGCCGCCGTCTCTCTGCGGGGAGGTTTTTGACACCGTCCTGGCGCCCGACGCCTCCAGTGCGTTTGGAGGTTTGTCTTGTGAAGAGGTCAGAAAGAGAGAAAATGAGGAGTCTTGACTTTTCTTGCATCACCTCCGGTGAATAAGGTCTGATTCTACTCCGAAGCAGAAAAGTTGGACGGACGCTAAATTAATTATCGTTAAGAAATTGTCAATTCGTTTATTTCTGCTACAGCGTTACATTTGTGTTCTCTAAGGCCGGTGTTAGAGGAAACCTTTCAGCCCCAGATCCTCGGAATAAAGTTGCGAGAGACTCTTGACCTCCATTACAACGTGCACAAGTTGTTTCCTGTGGTGCTGCGCCGTTGAATTGTAACTGATGACGATTAGGGGAACCACTGATCTGAGGCCTGTGAATGTTTAGTTTAAACACTGAATCTGTGCCGGCGGAAACTAAAAACGATTTGATGGGCGTCGTTGTGAGCTGCTGCTTTGCCTCCTCTGTGATTTGAGTGGTGAACTCAACACGCTAGTGTTGCGAACTAGCTGCAGCGATGCCAGGTGTACGACAATTATCGTCCTTGTAGGATAATTATCGTACGGCGTGAATCGTGCCATCGGAGAAAATGGAGCGTTTGAGTTTTGAGCCAGTTTCCACTCCGTCACATCCACTTTCATTAAACTCACCTTGACTTGTGAGAAATTTTACACATTAGCAGCAAAGAATAGAGTCAGCATTGGTGAAGAGATGTTAAACTGTGTGTGTGTGTGTGTGTGTGTGTGTGTGTGTGTGTGTTGTGTCTTCCAGCCTATGAGCCTCCCACTACAGCCCAAACACACAGAGAGCCAGCGTGGCAGGGTCGCTCCATCGGCACCACCAAACTACGACTGGTGGAGTTTTCATCTTTCCTGGAGACACAGAGGGACCAAGAGGCCGTGAGTAACACACACACACACACACACACAGACACACACACACACACACACAGAGTAAACACTCCCTGTTGTCCTATAAAGCAAGATGACAGATAACCTGCAGCAGAGAACAGCGTTAAAGGCCTGTGTGTGTGTGTGTGTGTGTGTGTGTGTGTGTGTGTGTGTGTGTGTGTGTGTGTGTGTGTGTGTGTGAATAACCTTTGTGTAGCTCTATCTCTGCGTCTGCTCAGTCGATCTGTCATCCTGACACACTCTCCGACTAACGGGCAGCTGACGTTCGTCTCGTTGAGTTCAGTTTGGACGATACAAAAATAAAACGGTTGTTTAACGATATAAAAACAGACGCTGTCATCGAAGAAGAAAATAATAATAATGTTCACTGTATGTTTGTTTAACTGTGAGTTTAACGTGAAAGAGAAAGTGATGTTCACAACCACAGAAATTAAATTCATGTTCTTGACTCAGCAGTTTTTTTTCTTTTTAATGTCAAAATTTTAGAGTCAAATGTGTCAAATTATTATTATTATTGTAATGTTTAGAAAAAAATGCAGTAAATTTGTGATTTTATTCTTTTAAAACAAATGAGCCGAAGCAGCTTTTTATTTTTGATTATTTTGATTAAACATCGTAGCTACTTCAGTTGGATTTTTCACAAACTCTTTTCATATTTAGTAAAATATTACAACAATATTATGTATAAATCTATAAATTGTTGTAAAAGTTCTTAACCCTTCGATGTCTTGACGTTTTAAAGAGCATGAATTTCTGTTGTTTTGATCATCACTTGTTTTCTTCCCCAAACGTTCGACGAGAACGTTGAGACTTAAAGTCCGAAGATTGAATGTGAAGCTAACGTGAGATATCCAAAGCACAAAATGACGCCATGCGTATGTGAGATATTTGGGGGGAAGTGGAGACGTGTCGTCCATCTTTGTTTACAACTTTGCCACCTGTCTTCTGAATGTTTTCTGCCTCTGTCCTCATCCTCCTCTTTTTTCCTCTTCCCTCAGTACAACAAGCACCTGTTTGTCCAGATCAGCCAGAGCAGTCCGACCTACAGCGACCCGCTGCTGGAGTGTGTGGACATCAGGCAGATCTACGACAAGTTCCCCGAGAAGAAGGGCGGCCTGAAGGAGCTGTTCAGCAAGGGTCCGCAAAACGCTTTCTACCTGATCAAGTTCTGGGTGAGAAGAGAAACACTCTTCATTTTATTCCTCAGCAACATCCATCAGTAGAAATCCAGAACAACAACGAGTGATTTATTATGATTGATGGAAATGTACTGTACCTGTATTTTTCCACCCAGAGCCTTTGTCTAGACTTACAGGTGTGTGTGTGTGTGTGTGTGTGTGTGTGTGTGT